CTGTTGGAAAGTGCAGGGTTCAGAGATGGCAGCTACTCACCACAAATCAACAGTGAGTACGTATCTTTTTTTTAATTTCAATATTATTTCATTTATTTCACATTTAGTCTGTCATACATGTACTTTTCAGTGTTTATGGGGATGTGTTAAAACGTTGTTCTATGCACAAAATACCATGGAGAGCTCAGTTATTAGTCGTGCTCAGCCAATGAGACGAAGAACGTGAGGTTTAATGTTTTGTCAAAGTTAAACACAAAACTTCCAAGTTTATTACAACTGGCCTTTTAGGGAAACTATGTTCATGTGGTCCAATGAGTTTGAGACTCCTGATCTAAAGAACAGACCCTAAATCAAGATTAGTTTCAACATCTACTTTAATATGTTTTAACAGTGAAAACATTTCTTGCCTATTTCTGCAAAACTCAGCTAAAACTATAGTTTARATCATGTGAAGGGGGGGGGGGGGTTCAGTAGAAATATTATAATAAACGTGCATTGCCAATGCAATGCACACTATTGTGATTCATTTCCCATCCAAGTCATCTCCACTTTGGCATGCTTCTCCTCTTACATACTTTTTTCCTAGAGCTGCCATTGTGATTTATATCTGTAAAGCTCCTGTGCCAAATGATGGCTAGTTCAGTGGTTACAATACTAATATCATTGTATTTTAATGTTTTACTACAATATTGTCCTAATATTGCTCTATTGCTGTAATATATTTCAGTTTAGTGTCAACAATTGTATTGGCAATGTGGCCTCTTTCTGCACACATACAAACCAACACCTGGCATTGCCCTCTGCCACAGCTCCAATAGATATGGTTAGTGCCATGAACTTTCATGTGGAAGCTCACAGGTTGAAACCCAGCTAAAACAACTTTAACAAAAAATCTCTTCAAACTTCATATTGTTACACAAYTACCYTMATTACAAACACCTGCTRWYWTGACAGGCACAAGCTGGTATAGAAAACACATTTGAATTTGGTCACAGTTCATTCTGCAAGTCCAATGCTGCAGGCAAAGCCATGCTGCAATGACATGCTACATGGCAATGCACACTTGTTTTTACATCGTAAAACAACACGTCTAGTTAAGAAATGCCTTACCTGTCATGGATAGCTAAAGTGTCCTGAATAAAATTTAAGATTTTAATTTGATAAGAACCTTAGTCCTTTTTTT